CCCTCCCCCTCTCTCTCTTTCCTCTCTCGTGTTGGCCCACCCCCATCCCCTGCCCACGACGCCTCCGAAACAGCAACAACCTCCCCACACCAGAGGCCTCATCTTCACACTATCGGGAGGCGCAACCAGCAGCAGCGACAGCTCTAGCGACATGCCTCCGCCCGAGGCGGGGGGCACCGCAGAAGGGGGCTCCGCAGATGGCGCGCCGTTGTCGTCATCGCCTTCGTTATCGGCGGCAGAGGGGGATGGCAAGGGGGGGGGGGTGCAGGGGGCCGAGGCGGGGGAGCCGGCGCTAGTAGACGTGGCGAAGCTGGAGTCAGCCGCGGCTACGACCTTGTGGAACGTGCCCAACATACTGACGATGGCGAGGGTGATGGCTATCCCGGTGAGAACGAGAGGGAACGGCGGAGGGTGTACTCATGTCAGAATGCATGCCGCAGTCGTTATAGAGCATGGACTTCGCACCCCCGCAACGCGGTGACGGAGCGACAATGCCGGGTCGCCGGCCCAGGCTACGTTTCAAGAGCACGAACCAGAAGCTGGCCATCTTCCTTGCGTTTGCTGGCACGCCGGCATACCGTAGTCGTTAGACCATGGACCTCGCGAGGCGGGGGGGAGGGGGCAATGGTAAAGGAAAACGAAAAAGGGACGCCAGGCGGAGAGGCAGATTCTAGTTTGATAGCAATTGGTTGTGTGAGCCGTTTGTGCGAGGGATGCTTGCCGCCCGGTTCGTTTTTGTTTCCGCCAGGAGTACCCCACAGCATTCGCGGCCTGGTGGAGCGCTTCAGACGGCACGTGTTCTTTTTTCTTTTTGCGCTGCAAGAGCTTGCTTCATTCAGTAGTGTTGCATGGATTAATTGCGTGCATGGCGCAAGACTGCGGTACCGCGGTTGGTGGATGTCGCAAAAGTCTCACCGCGTGTTTTCCCGTCACCGCAAGCCTCTCCTTGAAATTGGAATACTCAGCATGCAAGCAAGACGTGGTTGCTGCCCAGCGCACAAGAGCGTTTGTTCTGTAGGCTATTTTGCAAGGAACACGTTTCCAAGATCCAGCTTGTTGAGCGGTTGCGGTCCTGTTTCCGACGATCGGGCAGGAAAAAATTGCCCGGTACAACCCACAGTTGGGGGAAGGCTGTCCGCCTCTGCCCGTAAACAAGGAGCAGTGAGGGAGGTTCTGCCCTTACGTGGCTATTGCTGTCTGCTGCGTGCTCCGGTATTTCTATCTGCTTTCAGCTCCATTCGCCCTCCGGCTTGCAAGTGCTACGAACAATGGGTCCCAAGGCCGTGCCCGCGGCTGGCTCCGACGCCACTGTTGTTCAGTTCTTCTCTCTACTCAAGATTTGTTCGCGCGCTGCGCTATTTCTTGAATATCTCCCCCTTCTCTGTCAAGGGTCTAACGACTACAGCATGCACGGCCATGAGCACCCCCCCCCCTCAAGCTTGTGACGGCCATCTCCCTGACGCTTCTACTGCGTTCTAATCTGGGCCCGCAAAGCCTCGCTGCCTGGGGATGTTTATTTGTAGCTCATCCCAACAGGGCACTCAACAGCCGTGCCTCTTGTGTTGTTCCATGCACCCGGCACACACACAATGTCCCCCCCCCAGGTGTTCGCCACCATCTTCTACGCCTCCCTCCCGCGGCGCAACATCTGGTGCTCGGCAATCTTCGCCGGAGCCGCGTTCACGGACTGGCTCGACGGCTACATCGCTCGCCGGCAGGGCATCGTGACGCCGTTCGGATCCTTCCTCGACCCTGTGGCGGACAAGGTGCGGCAGGAACATTGGCAGGTTTCGCGAAATGTCCCACGCAAGTATGATTTTTTTCGCATGCGGTAGACGGGTCCCACGAGAAGAGTGAAGTGTTTCGGAAGGCGTGGCGCGTAAGAACCTCGCTCTTTCTTGTTTGTGCCGTGCAGTCTGCCGATGAACTCAATAAACCGGGGAAAAGTTGCTGCTGTGGCGCTTGAGTTTCAAGTTTCCATGGCAACGCAGGACGTAAGATGTATGGGTTGTTGGTCTTTTGTGTGGGTGTCCGACAGCAAGCGTGAGGGTATGGAAGCGCCGCAAGGTCAGCCGAGAGCTCGTGGGTACACCGGGGGAATCGCCCTCGTGTGACTTCTGTGTGGTTAACTTTTTAGATGTAACTTCAGGCTGCCGAGCGTGAAACCTTGGTTCGATGTATTCCTTTGCTCCGTCACGTGTTGTTGAAGGTTTTGAGAGTTTGCGAGTAGGAGATGCCACAAAGAAACGCCAATATATGGCATTGAGTGCCTTAGTTTTTCGTGCGAGAGACGAACATAACGCTGCTCAGGAGCTCGTGACTTTTTTGCCTAGTCAGTCTGAAGAAGCAGATGGGATTGGGGCTCGAAAGACGTCAGACCATGGTGACCCTCGTTTCGGTAAATATATACCTCCAAGATTTCTGCTTGTGTTCCATCATGCCGCGCTATGTGTCCCACCACGAGACAGCACTACTCTCGATTGCCTGTGCGCGTATGGTGCCGTGGCGGTGTTGCCTCAGTCGATGTATGATGTCAAGAGCTAGGTGGCGCGCTCGGTCGCTCATCGATGTCTTGCTGCTGCTGCTGCTGCTGCTGCTGCTGCTGCTGCTGCTGTTGCTGCTGTTGCTGCTGCTGCTGCAACCGGCCTCTTGACGTCCCTCCGGTGTTTTTTTCCTCTGGCCGCTTACGCGGTGCTTGAAGCTGCTGGTGTCCACGGCGTTGATTCTTCTATCGGAGCGGCTGGGACCCTGGATGACCGTCTGCTCCGCGATTATCCTCTGCCGAGAACTAGCGGTGAGCTGGAGACATGCACACGTTGGATTAGAATCCCCGTTTCGGGTATCGTAAACCTTGCACATGGTGCCGGGAGCTTGCGTTAGTGTGGTCGGAAAGCATATTAGCTTCTATTATAGTGTGTTGCTCCTGTGGACGGTTCACTTCTCCCAGTAAATGTAGAATTTATCTGCCGCTTGGCGATTTGCGTATGCTACTGGTGTAGCGAAGAGCGCCAATCGTCTTCAGCAGGGTGCGCAGACGGTTTTCCGGAAGCTGGCCACACGAGTTTCCGGATGCTGCGGCTTGATCAACTGCTGTTGCATGCGAGGCAGCATGGTGTAACCATCTGCTCTTGCCCTGACCCTTCTGCGAAACTCTGGGAAGTTGTATATCTTTCTTTCTGTGGTTACGGGTAGCCTGCTCCAACGCAACCGCAGCGAGCGAGGTGTTGCTGTTTCGAGGTTATCTGCGAACCGCGCTCACTGCTGTGCATACCTCGAAACATGTGTAGTCGGTGCGCTTGCCGTCGTGGCGTTGTGTTGACAGATCAGCGCTCTTCGTGAGTGGATGGCACAGCTGGGATTGAGGGAAACGGTAAAAGTGGGAAACGCCGGCAAGTGGAAAACCGCGACACAGGTGAGAAGGAAAACTCTCTGAGAAGAAAGTATCTCATGAACGTGGTTGCAGTGCATCCGTCCGTCTTGCGAAACCATGGCGGCCCTATGCGTGACTTGCACTTCGTTTTTTTTTGTTGTGTCTAAGCGCAGAAAGAAAGAGGGTCATTTCCTGTAGGGAGGAGGACGAACCCGAGCGCGTATGTGTTCGTGAAGAGGCGTTCATGCTCCTGAAATATGATCGAGCGTGAGTTTCGTCCCGTTTATCCCGGAGATCAAACTTTGCAGATATTAGTACTTCGTATATATTTCTGGGTGCATCAGTCGGAGCCATGCAGGAGGGAAGGCCACAAAAATAAAATGTTTCCCACGGTTCTACGGAGCTTGCATTTGATACTTTCATATGTTTAATGGGCAAGGATTCACCCGTAACGGCCTTTCGTCCACCGTGAAGAGCCAACGGGCATTTTTTTAGTCGGGTCGCCTCACGCATACAAACCCAGGCACTGATGCTATAAGGTCCTGTCTCAGCCAGGTAAAACGGTTGACCTTTTACCGGGTGGCTTGAGTGGTTTACCTCCCTAGCAAAACATATGGCGTCGTCTGCAGGACATGTCGGGAGTTTGAATCCCGACATGTGCACTTTCTTTTTTTTCTGATTCGTGATTCGAAAAGAAAAAAGAGAAAAGAACTTGTGCGTGAAAGGAGGAAACACACTCGCATGTTAAAATCCTAGCGGAAGAAGCATCACTACTACCGTCTGAAGAATGTCGGCGACCCCACTTTGGTGGTCCTGGGGATGACTCTCGCTAGGTTTCAGTGCTAGAGAGTGTGATAAGGTCCTCTCTCAGCCAGTTGAAACGGTTAACCTTTTACCAAGTGGCAGAGTGGTCTACCTCCTCAACACTGACTCCCCCCCTGCCACGCGCATTTCTCTTGCGCCCGCCCCCCCCCCCCTCCCTGAAGATGATGGCCATTACCATGCTCCTGCTCTTGGAACCGGGTGCCGCGGTGACGCTGGTCAACCCGGCCACCGCCATGCCCATCGCCAAGAGCCTGCTTTACGTGTCCACCGTGTTGACGGTTACATCAGGTAGCGGGTACCTCAAGGCAGCCTGGNCTAGAGAGTGTGATAAGGTCCTCTCTCAGCCAGTTGAAACGGTTAACCTTTTACCAAGTGGCAGAGTGGTCTACCTCCTCAACACTGACTCCCCCCCTGCCACGCGCATTTCTCTTGCGCCCGCCCCCCACCCCCTCCCTGAAGATGATGGCCATTACCATGCTCCTGCTCTTGGAACCGGGTGCCGCGGTGACGCTGGTCAACCCGGCCACCGCCATGCCCATCGCCAAGAGCCTGCTTTACGTGTCCACCGTGTTGACGGTTACATCAGGTAGCGGGTACCTCAAGGCAGCCTGGCCGGCGCTGATGGGTAAAGCGTAGCGATTACGTAGATCCAGTTTGGGCCCGCACTTGAGAAGAACGTCTAATTTTAGCCGAGGCTCGTTCTCGTATTTTGTCCAGGTACTGCTGTATCCCGACGGCGACGATATGGGTTTTATATAGTATACTGTAGGCTTGACTGAGGACCAGTTCGTATGGTCAAGTACGAAAAAAATTAGGCTCAACTTCCTATCTACCAACTTAATAGGTGCGGGCCGGCTCTGTAGACTTGAGAACCAAGTGGTTGTGAGTTTCCCGATCATCAGCATGTGTTCCTCGCTGATGACGGCGTCATCGGTAGAAAGGGGTGGAGGTGTTTTTCGTTTCGTTGTTGTTTGTTTGACTGTGCTGACGCTTTTCTCACGATCGTTGCATCGTGGTGGTCGACATAAAGCAACACAGCAACGTCCTAGTCCTTTCGGAGAGGCTGTTCTTTGCTCCGCTGCAGCAGCTGCTCGCTGTAGTTGGCTGCGGGATATTATTGCTTCAATGCCTCCTTGGGCGGATTAGTGTGGTGTCTTGATGGAGTCTTGGGGCGTTGATATGTTGAGTGTAGTGTGCGTGGTTAGAAGGTTGACCGCAAATGTCGCGCTTTTCAGTGACCGGTACTTTTTTTACCTGCGCGCGGCAGTGTCATATGTGTACAAGTTGAAAATGTGCCCACGCTGGTAACCGTGTGGCCGGACATTTCACCGATGTGTGTTTGTGGACACACCAAGATGTAGGTATGTGGCCACTTTCCCACAATTTCTGTGCACTTTGTGTTTATTCGAGGTGTAGTGTTTCGCACATCCTAGTTAACCACGAGCTATATGTCAAAATAATCCCGTGCCCCCTCCACGAAGTGAGCGATGTCGCGATGTACGCTCGAGTTATAACGCCCCACTAAACTTCTGACTTGCTGGTGTACCAACCAGCGTACACGCTTCTGCTTGGTTGAGAATGGGCTTGAAGCCACCCACGGGGCACGGCGAATGCGCGTAGATGTGTGCCATCCCAAACGAGAGCTTTCACGAGAAAGTGGAGGATACAGAAGATGATCACCCTTCTGGTGTGAATACAGTACGCATACCCGCGAGTAGCAGGATGCGCACATCCCGTTGTGGATGTGACACATGCGGTTCGGAGTCGACAGTTGCACCAACAATGAGAAAAAAGCAAAACGAAATACAACTGTTCCATCGTCCATGGTTCGGGGACTAAAAACAGACATCGTGCGAACGGTATCAGACATCAAAAAATGACCTTCGTTTCAAAAATTGTTTACGGACGTTCAAAACCATACAGCAATACAAACGCTGCCCGAAAACACGGCACATTATATAGGTGGCCGGCATGCCGAAATATTATGCAACACGTGGTAACTCTGGACCACCAGAGGAAGAAGACAAACACCCAAACGTCTATTCCAGCCACGCTCAGCGATTCAGCCCAAGTTTAAGACCATGCGCCAGGAAGTTCCTTCACAATTTTCCACAACGGCAACCGGAAGGATAGAACGACAGCCAGACACAACATGTTTGCAGGAACACGACAAATTCGGTCCAACATGTTCCTACGTTCCTGCAATGCATTGGCGTCAATTGTTCCGATAAAGCGCAAGTCGAGCACGCCTTCCATCGAGCACGCCTTCCATGAGGGAGGGCCAACACCTCAACCCCTGTCATACCGCTGTTTATCTAGAAAATATACATGACATCACAGAAATACTATCGTATCCCTCTTACACGACATGACGGGCAATCACAACGAGAACAACTGAGATCAACTGGCCTCAAAATACCCTCCACCTCCAACAGCGCAAAGAGAGCGCACGACCGCGAACAGTAACTTAGGTTACGAAGGCTCGCGACACTGGACGAAACCAATGCTTAACGGATGTGGCTGACGGGTGGATCTGGCGGGAGGCTTCTCAAAATGGACCTGGTCCCGTACAATCCGTACAAGGCACGGAAATCCATCGCTGCGCCTACGCAATCACGACGCCTACATAACAAGCGGTTCGTGTTTGCAATGAACTAAATACTGCTTTCCAAAGCGGCTAGATGACGTCACCTGCTCCCCTTGGTTCTACAGCCACGTTTTCCTGGTTTCCGCGCCGAGCGTACACGACGAAGGGAGAGGGGGGCAACTGCAACCACACCCCCACAAAAGCAATGCACGAAACATCCACAGGAAACCAAGGGAAAAACATCCAACAACACCGTTTGCGATTTCGCGCACCAGCTTTACTACCGCTGGAAGTGAGAGGCAAAGCCGCCAGACTGGAAACTACTGGACGCCTCGCAACCCTCGCCATGCTGAAGCATACTTCGAAGTACTGGGTTTGGTGTTCGAGAGCGAGGCTAGCCGCCTATTCCTTCATATCTCACCACTAACTTCCTTACAAGTCAATGTATTGCCATAGCACAGCAAGGAAACGCGCTGAGAGCGAGCCGCCAGAAGACGGCGCTGCGAAGGGACTAGCCCGCATCGAACTGACACGAAGCCGGCATCATGCCATCATCATATCCTCGAGTGAGCTTGTAGCACGGCCAATACGACTATCCGGTCCGAAGTGTTCCTGCGGAGAAATAGTTGTTACCGTCGGGGTCAAGTGAAGAAAGCAGAAGAGAGAAACGGAGTCAACACGTCGTCGGAACATGAAACAGCAAAATATTCTTAGGGCTGGATAGAAGTAAAGGCCTTCACTCGTGGCATGAGGGATGATCAGCACTGTCTTTTTTGGATGAAGGAAAGGGGATGGAGGGGGCAAGAGGGAAATGTAGGGGAGTCCAAGGGTTCGGGAAGCAGCAGACTTCAGTGTGACCAAACTTAGTGGACAATCAAGAAAACCCCGACAAGAAAAGACGCCCAAGCAAAATATTCTCGCCGCACATGATGTGTGTGTACAGCAGCAACAACAGGAGAGGGTTGAAACGTTCTGAGAGTACAGGTCAGTGTAACTATGACATAAAGCCCGGCATCGTCCCGTGGCCCAGGAACTGGGCCAAGATAGGACTCCAGGATGATTCGTTTTAATCATCCCTGCACTCTTTGTCGCCCACCACATCGAAAGCGGAAAAATTTTTTTAACAGGTGGAAATTGCTCTGGTTTCTGTTTTTTCGGCTCCGAAAGCGGATGAACCTGGACCGAGACAAGACCTAAAATAAAGGAAGAAAAATTCCAACAAGAGACCAAGTGACGGAGGAAAACGTGTCCAAAAAGGCACATCTTAGTTTTCCACCGCCGAAGACAATCCATGGCATACAACAATGCAACCGTGGAACGCCGTCGTGCATGCGTAAACGACGAATCTGGCGCGACAAAAATGTAACTGCTGGATCGCGCTCCTCGAGTTCACGGCACCGGTCCGAAGGCAGAAGAGTAGAGAGAAAACAACACTCGCTACGATACTCGGGTTTCCATGAGTGCGTGCGTTATCAGTTAGGCCGGGGTCAGCGAACTTTAAAGACTGTAGTTTTTCGTGTGTCACCACAGAGAGTATGAATAATAATCGTCATCACCCCCCAGTCTTGAGCTCTCGCACCAACGCCATTTACTCCCGCTTTAGCCCACACGCACATCCTCAAGGAATTCCAGATCAGGTCTTTTGGCAGCACGCTTTGCTTTTAACATTGGCCAGCCGTAGGCGCGGTCGAAAAACACAAAGCACATCTCCTGATGATACAACACATTCAGGGACCGCGGGTTGTGCCAAGTATTCCCTGCGTTGCGTTTTGAGGCAAGCAGCGAGTGATTGGAAGGTCGATATGTGGACAACCTGGAGCGCAGACGAGCTCACGCAAATCGTGGGCGGTGGCTGCTCGTGGGTACAACCTTACCCCCTTGCGAACGTGCAACGGTTGGAGTTGTCTACGGTGGTGGGTGTTGGATGAACAGTACTGCTGTAGTCAACCGGTAAGAGGTGTGTTGACACTGCATCTTGAGATCGTAAACAGGCGCCTTGGCTCATTCGAGCGTGTCTCACCATTGCTCGTTCGAGCGGTATGACGGGTAAACGGCTAAGTTTTTGCTGTAGTATAATCATCACCACAGCGCCTGCATATTCGAGTACAGAGAATACGCAACGCACAAGGGAGCAAGCGGCCACACGGGCTGCCGCGCTGTTGTCCACACAAAACAAAGTGCTGGATTTCAAAGCAGACTTCCCTACAACTGCAACGAGGAAGACGACAGCGAGGGGCGAGATGCAAGTTGCAGAGCAATCACCTTTTTGTCGCTACTGCCGCATCTCGAGGGCCGGGCTCTCTCGCTCAAGATCGGTCCTCCCCCACAACGCTCGGTATCGTGTGGTTGCCAACAGGTTGCCACCTATCGAAGTAGGTTTGATACGAGACGCTGCTCCCGTCGGGGTTCGACAGGCCCTCTACTAGTCGCTGATTGCCAGGAAATCCATCGCCGTCTCCGGTGTCGACGTCATGTTACCACAGCAAGGTTCTTCATTGATGTATCTGGCAGGGAGAGAGAGGAGAAAGAGGGAAGTGGTGAGGCGTTGCTGTGCGTGTTGTGTGGTGGGAACATCGTGCGGCGGAATAGCGTAATAGCCGTTGGTGGGTTTGGTATAGAATCGCGAGGCGTGTGCCAATATATGTTCCGGTTCGAGATGGTGACGGTTCATGCTCCTGCTCTGCGCTGTGACGCGGTGACTCTGGGAGTCGAGGAGTAAGGTCAACGCACACGCTCTCTCTCGCGATCGAATGCCCCAAACATCTATCGGTGATGATTGATTTCTCGCCGTATACCTCTATGAGATCGTTGTCCATATGTGTTTGAGGGTCGGCGTCCATTGTTGACCCCAAGCGGTGGCACAGCAGCAAGTGGCACGGCCGTGGGTCTGGTTGACGGCGAAGCAGACGTTGTCGTTGTCGTTTCCCCTGTGGCGTAAGGTATCTCTGCACCATAGTGAAGCCGATTGCCAACGTCGATCCAGTTGACATCCGCTTTCACAATTGTGTATCCCACACAATAAATTCAAGGCCTGGTGTTGTTCCTTGAACCGAGAGTTCTGAGGCGGGGTCACACAACAACACTGAGTGTGCGCGAAGAAGTGTTTGAGGCATTCACCTCGCTGTCACGTGCACAAACGACCGAATGATCTCTCTCCACTTCAAGTAGAACACCTCGCCGTCGGAAGCTTTAGAAAAACGAAGGTTGCGTATGTATGAACCGCTGTAGGTTTACAGATGTGGACAGTACCTAGTTACATGAAATATAGACTATGCCGACATCACTAGACTACGGTCTATTGTAGTTCGTGATGTAGTCTAATCCACATCGCCATCATTTCCTGGTTAGTGTAGATATTTCAAACTTCATGTAGACTATTCATCAAACATCACGGAAGGACACTTCGAGTTTGTTTGTGGATAAGCGTTCATGCTGGAAGTAGAAAATAAAAGGATGTGCAGTCTATTGTACGTGCATCATCGAAGAAAACAGAACAGACAAGGATGTGCCTGATTGGTGACGGTTGATGAAAAACAGCGAAAGGCTGCTGTGTTCGACCGCATGGCGGGTATGTATACAAGCTCACGAGGGGGTTCGTTGTAGCTGCCATGGTACACATGGCGACACATGGTACACATGGCGGCACACACCAGAAGGTGGTGGATTAGGCATCCCGTCAATACCAGGAACAACAGGAGCTGACGTGTTGATGACAAAATGTGAGACGGTAGTCTAGCCATTTTCACTGGTACAGCAACTTCGTGAAGACAGGAAGCTCCTTGTCCACGAACGTCACACCAGCGTCAGTCCCACAACAAGACGCGTTCCCCTTGCAAAGACTGGTGCTTGCTACAATACCAACAGCAGTGATAGGCACGTACGAGATTGTGGTGGTTCCCACCGCGATACGAGTTCCAAAATTGTGCGAACGGTGTTTCATATGCGTTCCCGTCGGAATTGTTCTTCGGACTAATCTAAAGCAGTACGGGCCTGCAATAAGAAAATCTCCATCAAGAAAAAAGCCCAACTTTTCCCGAAAAACAAAAAAAAGGACTACACATGGCGAACACAGCTCAATCTCGGTTACAACATCATAAATGTCCCAATAAGAAACATGATCGTGCGATACTCCCAATACATAAGAAACAAGGGTTGCTGGGGGAGCGTATCCAATAACAATCGTCCCACTGCTGCTCCTTCCGTGCTCCCACCCCCGCTGTACCTAGCTGAACAGTAGCGTTTTTTCGCAGGGGGAAAGAGTGATTGTTGTCGCCTTCCTTCCCTCCTCCGCGTTAGCTACTCCGCGCCTCCGCGGGCTGCTTTACCCACTGCTGCGTGCATGTTTGTGTGTTGTATTCTTACCCAGCAAAAAAATAAGACACAGGAGAATCGGGAGGATGCAACAGTCCAAAGGAACAAGATATGCCTTTTAAGAAAACGAACGACTTCGGCTGGCCCTTCGACCCGAAATTGACGCTTCTTATCTCTGGGCACGTGCGATACTGTTGCACCCCTGTTCAGGCCTTCGAAGCTCCAGGATGCCCAAGCAAGAATCCTCGTCTCTCGGGACGAGCAGATCAAAGCACTTACACGACTCCGGAGGGCGGAGAATCACCGACGGGAGGGATTCCAGCAATCCATCAAAGCCAAAAACAACCTCGCGGAGAGGATTAAAGCAACGAAAAGCAACAACTCCAAGGCAGCAGTGTCTTCGAGGTTGAGGTGCGAAGTGTTGCCTGCGGCCGTCCGGCGAACCTTTTGCATACAACTCGCTACCGTACACCGCAAGCGCAGTAACCAGTTGTGGACTGCCCGCCTGATACGCCTCTTTGTGCTAATGTTGTAATTTGTCTTGCAATCGAAAGCGTCACGTGGCCAAAAACGGTTGACTGATGGTGTGGTACTGTAGTCATCAGGAATAAGCGCCGTGTCTGTCGAGCATAGAATCATGGAGAGTCGTGTTGTAAGTCTCGGAAATTGTGAGGTTTTTGCCGTTAGATATTGAGAACGCCTTCGGTTCCTGGCCTACGTTGCTGACTATCTCACTGGTGGTACATTCCACTCACAACGAGGTATTTTTTGTACGACCCACCCCCAAACGCGCTCTCGCCGATGCCTTCAGTGCTGCCGTGTGCATGTAGCTAGACTATACCCATGCCGTGCCAATCATGCCGTCCACCTTATTGTGACGAGAATTCAACACGGGCGTGAATGAAATTAAACGGAGTTGCCTCCATGACTTGAACCAAAGGTTCCACGAGTTACCAACCATTTGAACGTGAGCTGCCTGAAAAAATCTCCTCGGCAATTGCGTGGCGACGCTCAGCGAGCGGTTGTTTTCACCTTCGCCTTCGTCAAACAGATGGGCGAGAGAAAAGGAAGCTATTCGGGACAACCCGGAAGCATGGGCGTCACTTCGCGCAGCAGGAACAAAAAGTATCACCCAGGAGAGCAGCAGCAGCAGCAGCAGCAGCAGCAGCAGGAGAACATTGAGCCGCCTGCAAAACAAATCTTTCAGCGTCGACGTCGGCTGCGGCTCCCTCGCGTTTCGGTTGAACCAGTCCAAGTTGCGATCGCCACCATCACCTCTGTCGCCGGAGCTGATCTCACAACCTCCTGGGCCGTGCCACAAAATCTTCGACTATTCCGGCCAAGGCTTTCATGATCTACCGCCTGATCGACTCGAACCTTGCACCGGGTCGTCCAAGATTAACATTGAGCAGCCTCATCGGCGGCGGCAGCGTCAGCGAAAGCTTGTAGAGCTCGGCGACGGTGGCAATGCCAACGGTCGGGCACCCCGTACCACACCTGCTCATCTCTTTTGCGGAAATATCGCCGACGCGGAAACGGGGGAACGCTTGGAGTTGATACGGCGCCGGTGGGAGTTTCCGGAGCCAGGTGGACGTACGAGTACCGCCGGACCACCTGGTGACGGCGTAGAAGCTATGGATTGTCCAGGTCCACGAGGAGAATCTGCCACCTCAGGTGAGTGTTAGGGTAAGTGCCAAGGGCAGGGCAAAGGGTGACCAGGCGGTGTCCTGCTCGAGCCGACTGGGAAGCCCCAACGTCGATTCTCAAGACCATCGATCACCCCGCGCAAAAAAATGCCGCATGTGTGAAAACCCGTCAGGTCGTGAACGCTCTCTCGCCGATTCGGTAGAATGCGGCGATTGGATAGGTCTTTGGTGCGGCGAGAAGGAATCTGACGAGGAGCGGGAGAGGCAGACGTCGACCTCTATCCCTTGCGGTCCAGACCGGGTGAACATTTCACAGGCTGAAACTCGCGTACGTGGTGGTGTTGGGAGGAGGTATCGCAGCGGAGACTGGGAGAGGTGGCACGACAAGGAGGGAGAAGGAACAGAGCGGCCTGGTGGCTGTGATGTCCTCGCGCCGCACGATGCTAAGGGCAACGGCGACTACCATTACGACTACCGCTACGATCCCGACAGCGTCGAGGACAATGACGACTTTTGTGGCCTCCGTGGTCGGCGCCACTTGCAGAGCACCACGGAAACGAAGGCCAGGACGATCTTTGCCAATACAAACGGGGTCGGGTCCAACCACAAGCCCACGTCGCCGTTTTCGCCGAGTGTAGGACGAAGGAAGAGGCCGTTCACAACCGGGGGTGGTTCTTCTGTACCCGTTGCCAACAATCAACACGGCGGTGGAAGTGGCAGCGGCGCTAGCAGTGTGACGTTTGCGACAGACATGCTGAACCACCCGAGTCACCAAGAGCCACCTACGCCCCGGTCGACGAAACGGGTAATGTCACCGTTCTGGGTACCGCCCCCGCAGGAGCCGCCATTGCTTTGTCGCGAAATAGCCAAGATGACCTCAGCTTTGGCGGCAGGGTGGCCGGGTGGCACGGCTGAGAATGAAAGCAGAGGTAACGACAGTAGTCTATCGCTGGGGAGAGGCAGGTACAAGTCGTCACCGATCCGTAAGCGCGAGGGCAAGTGGCCGCTCGAGAGCAGCGACGACGCGATGGCGACGTTCTCGTCGGCGGCAGGCACGGTTCAAGAAGACGAGCGTGTTCGTCGAACCATGCTACAAGCGCAAGAAATGAGGGACCGCTATTTCAGGTGCGTCTCTACCGCGGGCAGCCCACCAAGCTGCTTGACCACCCACTCCTTGACCACTTGCGCGGGCGGTTACACACCGGATTACACAGGCAGGTCAATGTATCCCCCCTTTTCCAACCAGTGATGATCCTCCGCTACCCTACTCCTGCACGAGCCCCGCCACCCCTCCCTTACTGATTGCGCCCTCTATATTCTTCCTCTGCCGTAGTCAAATTCGGCAGATGATCAAGGACGAATGCGCAGAGGAAGCGTGCCGAGCCGCCGCGCTTGCAAAGGCCGGTGGACACCCCCTCCGGTCGAAGCGCCTCCAGCTGCAGCACGAGCGAGAGCGGCAGGAAAAGCGCACCCTCATCAACTGGATACGGAAAGACACAGAGGTAGCGTTCGGATTGTGGTGCTTGGTGGCAATGTTCAAGTGCCACCCCGCTAGCGCCAGCTTGTCTCGAGAACGTTCGGATTGTGGTGCTTGGTGGCGATGTTCAAGTGCCACCCCGCTAGCGCCAGCTTGTCTCGAGAGTTGGCTGCCGTGAGGAACGTAGAGGTGTGCTACTGGTGTCACCGCGCATTTCGGCAAATCTTGTTTGACAGCTCCGTCTGTTTTGAAGCCCTGACCGTATGATTGGGCTACGAAAAGACTTGTCTGTACTTCGCTCTCTTGACTGACCTCGGTTTGTCTGCTTTTGGTTCCCTCCTGCCACGTCGGCTTTTTCACGCGTGCCTATTCGCACTGTCATGGGAATTCCATCGCCTTCGCCAATCATCGGTGGTATTTCCGGCCGCTTCAGCTTATCGTGGTCCAGAAGATGGCGGCGCTTGGGCTCATCCGGTAGTGGTCGTGGTGCGGTGGCCGTGATTTAACCGCGAAAATGATGCCGCGCTGGCAGTTTTCTTTCAACCTGAATCTTGCGGCAATGCGTGACTATGGCCAGAATCTTGCGCACGTTCTAGTCCTGCCTAGCTACGAAGACCTCAGAAAATACGAGCAAGCTATTTCATTCTATTTCAAGGAAGTTTGCGGATAGTGAAAATTAAAAATCGTTCAGTGACGCCATCCAGAGGCCCGTGTTCAACCAGCGCCTACAGTCAGCACAATAGTGTGTATGAGGACGTGTGGCTCGGGTGCCGTACATTGTGTGGAGGACAACTAAATCCTGACTCTGCAAGGGCGACCGAGCTTCGCGAACTATCCCCTACACCACAGACGGGGGGGCATACTCATGTACTGCGTGCCTAGAGTTGGTATCTCACTGCCCGCGCGTCCTCGAAAGGACAGAGCATTGTTCCCACGGACCCGGAGGGGGAGTATCTGCGCAAGAAATAAGTCCGGCTACTTGTCTCGTGGTACCAAATCACCAAAATTGATATTTGGACAGGTTGGTTGCCAAAAAAGACGGCAAGTCAAGTAAGACCGCCACCGTAGCACAAATCACGAACCTAGCCTCAAGCGTACCACAGCTCCGCAGAATCACAAAGGAACACAAACGGGGACACGAAAACACCATCACACCAGCGCCGCAAAGCACGAGGGAGATACGTTCAGAGAAGAGCCGCTCTCTGGCGCCGACATACCTGCAAGCAGCAATTGCGCTCAACCTAAGCCAACGGTGCCACAAAAAGCCGCTACAAAAACTTGCGCCTAAACCGCCGACTCAACTCAACGCACACACGGCTCGCCCCCCTTGCTTAGACCTCGTACCCAGGCGACTTTGCGAGAGGACCCTCGTCTTCCACGCCAGGCGACATAATCAGTTTTGTGGCACAGAAATGATCTCGTTGAGCTTCTTGGGCAAACAAATGGGCGCGGTCACCCTCTAGACAAAAACGTCCTGGACAATAAAAAAGTACAACGGGACACAAAAAGGAATACGCAGAATCACAATACCGCCATCTGGGTACGCGTCCGGCAAAAATACAAGTGAGAAGCCGTCGCCCCCCCCCCTTCCCCCCCCGGCGATCCTAGCGAGGTCCCGGGGGCTGTGCGGTGCACTACAACCGAGCCCTTGGGGTCTCGAATATTACTGCATGGCTTGCGCTATCTCTTCAATGTCTTCGAGGTTAAGCTTGGAGACGAACGCCCGATGTTGCTGTTGGGGGCGACGCGGGGTGCGACATTGGGCATGGGTGGGGGGCGACGGGAGAACGACGGAACGCTCGAGGTCATTATTTGATCATTTGGTGGTCAATCAACCGGCTGCCTGACGTGTCGTGACAAAAAAAAATGTCACGAAAAGCGTCGAAATAGTCAGGAGATTTGCCGGAGATTTTGTCGTGTTGGAAAGAATAGTCAAGAGCTTTGCCGGAGACTTCGTCGTGTTGAAAAGATTTGTTCGGACCAGCACTGTCACAAACGTCGTTTTGGCTTAACGTACGGCGTGTTTTTCGTCCAAGCTAACTTCAAGTTTGCAACACGCGACGGTGACGCGGTCTGAGGGGTGCACGAAGAAGAGTGAAACAACACGCACCTGTTGTACACGGGGTGGAAATCGAAACCAAATCAGAGGGTTGGTACTTTCGAGCAATTCAACAAACATTTCTTGGGCCTTCAGTTTCACCTAGTTCTATTTGGGGTATCTCCACCTCTAGAGGTACCTAGGTTTGCAAGATATACTTATTTTCACGTACACCCTAGCCGGTCCACAAAAAAAAAAGAATACTTTAGTGCCATGAAGACCGAATGCGGTGCAATCGAAATGAACATAAAACCAACCCCAGCTTCAGAGTGTCCATAGACACTGCAGTAGCCGCCAGCACTAGTGAGCTCAGGCCTGAGGTCCAAAGTTACCATCAAGAAGCGGGTCTGGGCACGGATCGGCTACATCGCACAGGCCGGGGTCTTGGCACAGGGGGGGGGTGTACTCATAGTCGTGCATGCCGTAGTCGTTAGACCATTGACCTCGCATCCCTACAAAGCCGGGACGGAGCACGCCGGGTTCTCACCGGACCAGGCTCTCACATCACCAAGCGCGAAGCGCCGTGAGATATTCGGCGAGTCGCATGAAGGGTGCGCTGCATCCTGCTAAGGGTTTTCGGCATCTTGTGCTTACTTCCTTGCGTACGGATGACAGCTGCGTATGACTTAATTTATTTTCTGGTGCTTTCACTTCCAGAGACAGTTGTAAGCACTGTGTAACTGCCTCGAGGGTGCTTGACCATTTTAACACAACGTGGTGCGATCATCCCCCTTGCGCGGAGTGAGGGTTCTCCACCCCGCACAACATGATCTACTCGACCACCATTATGGTTACCGCCAAAAAAAAAAACGGAGGTAAAAAAAAAAAACGGTAACCTGGTTGCCGAGTTCACGAAGTGAATTGGCTTGTTTTACAACGTCGTTGCCAAGCGACGAAAACCCAACCCCGATGGCAAACACCGGGGGGGGCGGCTTGTTTTACAACGTCGTTGCCAAGCGACGAAAACCCAACCCCGATGGCAAACACCGGGGGGGGCGGCTTGTTTTACAACGTCGTTGCCAAGCGACGAAAACCCAACCCCGATGGCAAACACCGGGGGGGGTGGCTTGTTTTACAACGTCGTTGCCAAGCGACGAAAACCCAACCCCGATGGCCAACACCGGGGCTTGGCACAGGGGGTGCGGAAAAAAAACGGGTTCAAAGGGATTTAATTGATTATCGCACAGGCATCGTTCACTTCGCACAGGGTGTGCGGAGACCCCGATACCTTCGGCGGGGTTGGGTGATACCATGGTATCCAGCTTTTTTCCCGGGCCACGACTGTACCAAGGTACCAAGCTTGTATCGGGGGCTCCACTGCTGTACTTTTGGCATCGTAACGTTGCTCATGTGCAAGTGATGTTGATCAACATTGTCATGTTTGTAGGAATCGGCAAAAGGTTTCTACTCAACCAACCAAGAACGCGTACAAGCCACACGAGACCACACGACCACAACCAACTACGGTACTACGAAAAATACGGACTCCGCGCTTGCGTCTGACATCGTAGCCAACGTGTTGCTTTGTGGTGTGTGTGGTAGCACAGACCTCTGTGTTGGGAGAATTTCAAGGTAATTCGCCGCCTCGCCGCCTCGGATTACTCTTTCGCCGCATTTTATTTCGCTGCATGTGTTTTGTGTGTTTTGGGGTGTTGGTGTGCTGTTGTGCCTGTCTGTGTTGGTTATGTTGTGGTCCTGATGCTGCAACACCTGCACACGTGCACGAAGTGCTGGTGCATGTCTGCTATGATTCGTTCAGGATCGCACACAACGGGGTCTTGGCACGGGGGTGCGCGTTCATTACACCCCACTCGCCGCCTTGTGCTTGTTCAGAATCGCACGGATCGGAGTCATCGCACGGGGGTGTGCGTTATATTTTCAGGACCAACAGTTAAATCATGTCCCGCACAGGTATCGGGTACATGGCACGCATCGGCGTCTTGCCACTCCTGTGCGATAGAAAAACAGAGAATAAAACATTTTACTAGATCTGGAGGTGGAATAGTTTTTTGTTGGAAATACGTACCTGCAGTGGGCTCGTGCGTTGCTACCATTGGCCCGTTTACTACACAGCAGTATAACAACATATTGATTGAGGTGTGGGGGGCGCCAATCAATGTCATGGACTCCGAAAGAAAAATGTCTTGGAAAAAAAGACACCTCCACACGGACTCGAACCTGGGGGGGAGGGAGGTGTACTCCGGGGGGAGGGAGGGGTGTGGTATATCAAAACATAGGGACGGCAGCAAAAAAAAGAAAAAATGTCTCTGCTGTTGTGCTTCGCTTGTTGGTTCGAGCTTTGATCGAGAAATCTCAAGAGCGTTCAAGCGTGTGATGGGTAACCAGGCTAGCACGGGAGGCACTGGTCGCACACTAGGCCTTCGCGCCCTAAAGTGTAGAGAGGCGTACAGCAGTACGTGTCGCACCAATGGTGGTGCGTAGCAGCGTCTGTGTGTTGTTGGTGTCATGTGCCCCTCTCGGCGGAAAGAGAGATAGAGAGGCCGCTGCTGCTGCTGCTGCTGCTGCTGCTGCAACCAAATATTCCATCTCTCCTCTAGCTTCCTCCGCCGATAGCTAACAGCAGCAGTGTATGGCACACCCTTCTCCCGCCGTCTCGCCCTCGCTGTGGTCTGTGTCTCCCTCTCGTTCTTTGTCCTTGTCTGGCTCTATGTGTGTGTGTGGTGTGTGGTCTGCGAGGCTATCTACCTTGGTTCAAAATCAAACGAGGCCTCCAATCGGTGTTGCAAGGGGTCAGAAACTTCCCTGCTTAAAGTAGGGCACCGACGCTGCATGATTTCGACGCACCGAGCACGGATTGCAAAGGTAGCAGTTGGGGCAGCTCGGGCAAAAAAATACTTGGTGTGAACACGTCTTAGATTGCAATTTGGTGCCGAGATGGTGAAATGGGCTGGAATCTGCTGTATATCGAGGGTGCTCACAGACAGCGAGAAGACAGCGAGAAGACAGACAGGCAGACAGACGGACAGACCGACAGACTTGAGCCCGATTTGATTTTCGTCGCTTGGCAACGACGTTGTAAAACAAGCCAATTCACTTCGTGAACTCGGCAACCAGG